TGCTTGGCAGGAAAGTTGGGGGGATGACGGCTACCTGCTCCTTCCCCCCTCTGTAGCCCCATGCACCTTGAAGACTTACTGGGGAAATGCACACTGAGTGCACACCCAACGCATGCATGCACAGAGACACACATCCCGTATTTTAACACACTTGAAATTCCCAGAATCAACATCAGCTCATGTCATGCCTGGAGGGTCCCTGTGGAAGCTGTTTACTATGTCTCCTGAAGAAAAGGTGGGTGGCCAGTTCATACAGGAGTGTTTTGCAGAGTTTTAATGGGAGGGTGCGTGTTGCAACACACAGGGCTTTCTGGCCGTAGGTGTCCAGCATCTTCTGTGCCTGCCGGCCCACCACAGGCTGCCATCCTAGTAGTAATGATTGTTGTGAAAGGGCTTGCTGTGGCGCCCCTTTGGGGTGCTTTTCCCATCCTACATCCTCGACCAGGTCTCTGTTGATGGCATAGGAGCTGCTGTCCACAGGCCCACAGCACTGGCCACCCACAGTCCTCATTGTTTCAATTGTGTCCTGCAAGGACCCGCTCCTGGTCAGGCAGGCTGAGGCTCTCTTGAGCTCTCCACCATGATCTCCGCTAAGTCTTCACTTGTCTGTGACTCGGCTTCCCCTTCTGTCATGGTGTTTTCTCTCTTGTTCATTCTTACCCATACATCCAGGCTGCTGCTGATAGATCCCTCCTGTGTACTGAGTTGAGATCTCGCGATGAAGCCACAATATATTTAAATTTTGTCAATAGAAGTGGTTTGTAGGTTGACCAGACTTCATTATGCAATTCTTTTAGATTACTAAGTAATTTCCCCTGGTAGGGGCAAACCACATTTTATTTACCCATTCATCAGCGGATGACATTTAAGTTGCTTCTGTCTTGTAGCTATTGTGAATAAAGCTGCTGTGAATGTTTGGGTACAAGCTTTTGTTTGGTGTACAGTGCATGAGGTTCCATTTCTCCATGCCCTTGTCAGCGCTTGTTGTTGTCTACCTTTTTGATTGTAGCCGCCTTTCTGGGTATGCAGGAATATTGTGGTATGACTTTTCTTTGTAGATCCCAAATGAAATGGCTAATGCTGTTGAACTTATTTTCATGTGCTTATTGGCCATTTATTTACCATCTTCAGAGAAATGTAGGTTCAAATCTTCTGTCCTTTTTACTTAACTGGTTAATTTGTCTTTTTATTCAATTGCAAGCATTTTTATATATTCCGGATTCAATTCCTTATCAGATACATAATAGGGAAATTTTTCTTTCTATGGGCTCTATTTTCTCTTGATGCCATCCCTTGCATTTCAAAAGTTTATAATTTTGATGCAATCAATTTTATCTATTTTTTTCTTCTGCTGCATGTGCTTTTGGGGTCATGTCTCAAATATCTTAGCCCACAGTAGTAAACATATGCCTCTGTGTTTTCACTTTTTAATTTTATATTAATGTAAAGAGAACAGATTTCATGTATTTCATGGGTGCAAATCTGAGAATATAATGATGCTTCCCTCCCTCCTCCTGCCTTCTTTTTCTGTTTAGTTTTCATGATAACATACTTTCAGTTTGCTTCATGATCACAGGCTTAATGCTGCAGAACAGATAGTGTTGACAAGTAAAAAATGCTGATTTGCAGGAATATAGACAAGGGCTGTACACAATAATCAAACACAAGGTGTCAGTTTCACTCTTACTCCAGTATTTTCTTCTGAGCATTTTATAGTTTCAGAAATAGTTATTTTTCTGATGAAGTTGTGTTACAGTTATGTATTTCATCCATTGTGAGTGAGTTGTAGTGTATGGTATAAGGAGCCAGCTTCTGCAGCATCCTCTCACTCCGCTCTTCCTCTTCCTCTTCCTCTTCCGCTGCTGCTGCTTCGTGGCTCTTCAGTTGCCCCAGCATCACTGTGGTTTTTTGTTTGTTTGTTTGTTTGTTTTTGACAGGCAGAGTGGACAGTGAGAGAGAGAGACAGAAAGAGAGAGAAAGGTCTTCCTTTGCCGTTGGTTCACCCTCCAATGGCCACTGCGACCAGCGCACCGCGCTGATCCGAAGGCAGGAGCCAGGTGCTTCTCCTGGTCTCCCATGGGGTGCAGGGCCCAAGCACTTGGGCCATCCTCCACTGCACTCCCTGGCCACAGCAGAGAGCTGGCCTGGAAGAGGGGCAACCGGGACAGAATCCGGCGCCCCGACCGGGACTAGAACCCAGTGTGCGATTAGCCTAGTGAGCCGCGGCGCCGGCCCCAGCATCACTGTTTTAAGAACAAATGAACACTCTGATTGTCTTAGGTCCTTGTTGAAGGTCAGTTGGCCACAAATTCTGGACTCTGAATTCTCTTCGTCTGTTCTGTACGTCTAAATCAGTCCTGTACTGTTTTTGTTGCCATAGCTTTAGGTATGTTTCTTAAACCTTGTATCATTTATTACTGTGTCCTCTCACCACCACCACCACCACCAGATCATTTCTTTGTCATGAACCCGGGTTATTTTTATACTCTTTCCTGTGTTTGGGTTTGCTGACTAGATCCTGATGGTGTCATTGACCATGTTCCTCTCTCCCTCTTTTTGTAAAAGCTAGTAATTAGATCTAGAGTGTATTAAATTCAGATGCAAGCATATAGTCCTGTTTTGTTGTTGCCCAGAATACTTCCTAGGTGGTGCTATTGGTTCAGTCAGGAGACCAGAATAGTTGTCTTGCCCTAGTTTCATTAATGCTAAAACTGGCCAGTGAGTTTAGATGGTACCAAACTCATCTGTTATAAAGTTCTCCTTCGGCTTATTTCTTGGTTTCAGTGGCTTTTGAAACTTGCTTTCCTCTTCTGATGATGTTAAGAGTTGTGAAGCAATGGTTCTGCGCTTCCATTGTTCTTGCTGCATTTATTTAGCTGTCACTTTCCCTCATCAGCAGATACAAATGCCTGCATTCATGGTTATTTCTTTCCCTTTATCGGTTTTTCGGTGTCATTTGTGCCCTGGAAACCTGTGATGCCCAAAGGTTTTTTAAAATCTGTGTGGATTTTATGTATCTGTTTTTCACTTACTACGTTCATCCTTTTTCTGATGCTGATATTACCTCATTACATGAGATTAACCGTATGATATCTGGGATTGGCTTCCAATTAATCCAGGACAGGGCCTGTGGGTGGAGAAGCAAGTGACTGGCCATGAGCTGGTAGTTGTTGGAGCTGGGCAGTGGGCTCATTAATTTGTTTTCCTTTTATGTAAAGTCATTAAAATTGTCTCATTTTTGGCCCATGGGAATGCTTTGACACTGCGTCACTGTGTTAGCTTCCCCAACCTAACATGCCAGAAGTTCACAGAACATCTGATATGTTTCCTGACCAGACCTGGAAGCCATCATTTCTCCAAGGTTTTGGGTTCCTGTTGGTAGCGATGGTGTTTGAGACACCCCTTGGCCATGGCTCTGAGTAGGGACTGAGTCCTACCAGCTGGTACTCGTTCTTGGTCTTATCCACAGCATAGATAGAAAACGTTTTCAGGAAAAAAAAATGAATTGCATCCAGGCCAGTCTTTCCAGTTCAGATGAGAATTGTGGCACTTTTTTCAAGTCTTCTTGCTTCACATTTACTTGTATCTCTTAAACTGAAAATTTTAGTTTCTAACAACAAACATAATCACTTATATATGATTTAATATCTTAATCATATATGTGTGTGCTTACAGAGAGAAGGAAAGATGGTGTTATTTTTAAAATATCCATATTTTACTATGAAATCTTTGATTCATTTTATTATTAAGATGTGCCCCACCAGGGATGAATACTCAAAAGACTGCTTTTCAAAGTTAGTCAGAGGCCGGCACCGTGGCTCACTAGGCTAATCCTCCACCTGCAGCACCGGCACTCCGGGTTCTAGTCCTGGTTGGGGCGCTGGAGTCTGTCCCAGTTGCTCCTCTTCCTGTCCAGCTCTCTGCTGTGGCCCGGGAAGGCAGTGGAGGATGGCTCAAGTGCCTGGGCCCTGCACCCTTGTGGGAGACCGGGAGGAAGCACCTGGCTCCTGGCTTCGGATCTGCACAGCGCGCGGGCCGTGGCAGCCATTTCGGGGGTGAACCAACAGAAAAAGGAAGACCTTTCTCTCACTGTCTAACTCTGCCTGTCCAAAAAGAAAAAAACAAAGTTAGTCAGAAACAATTCTTTGCCTTGTAGTTATGCTGTCAGCATGGTATACTGTTAAGTTCATTTGTTTCAATTTGCTTCAGATTTTTAGGTGTTCCTTTTTTTGTGACTTCATGTGGTTTCAAAGTAAAAACTGTAATACAAGGGCTGTGTCTTTCTCCCCTTCGCCTTGTCTTTGCCTCTTCCTATGGAGACCCATTTTTTATTAGTACCTGGGGTAACAGCCAGCGTTTTGTGGTGCAGCCGGTTAAGCTGCTGATGCAGACACTTCACAGGGGAGCGGTGCTTCCATTCCCAGCTGTTCTGCTTCTGATCCAGCTCCTTGCAGGTGTGCCTGGGAGGGTAGCAGAGGACAGCCCAGGTGCTTGGGCCTCCGCCACCCATGTGGGGACCCAGATGGGGTTCCAGGTTCCTGGCTTTGAGCTGGCTCTAGCAAGGGCGGTTGTGGGCATTTGGGAAGTGAATAAGCAAATGGAAAATATCTCTCTGCCTCTACCTCTTTCCTTTCAAATAAATATTTTAAAAAATAAAAATATGTAGATAATACAATGTTTTTAAAATAAAACTTATTTCCTTCCTTTTCTTACAAAGGGAAACATACTGTATATTCTGGTGCCCTTTGTTTGTTTTCATTTCACAACATATTCCAGAAATTTCTTAGTCTTTCAGATGTTGGCTTGACCTTTTTTAATCAGGCTGGTTTTTACCATGTCCTTGTCTAAACGCATTGTAGGATGCAGCAGTCTGTTATTAATTACACTATAAAATATAGGGCGAGTTAGTAACTTCACTGAGTTTTATTAAGACTCTTTTCTTTGCTTCTCCTCACAGCACATGATAAATGCCTTACCTTTTTCTTATTTCTCTCTCTCAGTCTAAAGGAATTCTTGCCCAAAGAATACATCAAGCAGAGAGGAGCTGAAAAGAGAATATTTCAGGTATTGGAAATGGACGGAAATTTATTATTCTCCTCACTCCATGTCCTCATTCATTAGCACGAGGGCCCTTCGCACGTGATGGTTTTGTACCCTGTGTGTGTGCTCTTATATAATAAATGATTAGTGACTCAAGAGTAAAGAAGCTGACAGTTTTACTTTGGGCAGATTTATTATCTTAATCTAGACTTTCTTGCTAAAGGTTACTTAGCCCTTCTGAGAAAGATGTGCATACATTTAATTTCAAAGGCATTTTCTTGGTAGCATTAAAACAAGGTGGTAGACCATTAAAATGCATTGAGGAGGAAATGGAAGTGGCTTCTTTGTCCTAAGATTTGGATTTTAAAGGTAGAATTTGGAAACTGGTGCTTCTTGAAAATCCAGGATTATTCTAAAAATCAGGGACATGTCCATCCTAAGCAGCTGGCAAAATAATAATAATAATTTTTAAAAAGCCCCATCACCGTGGGATGGCCACACTCATGAATCCAAGATCTCAAAGTCATGTTTGAGCTGGAGATGTTAGTATAAACTACAATGTCCGTTTTATGGGTGTTGGGCTTACTTTTTTAACCCAGTGTGGTTTCCGGTCACTGGCATGCAAGGCATGCCTGTACCTTCTTCTCTGGGACATTTTTGGGTCCCTGTTTTGAAGTGATGCTTCTCTCAAGAAGACAGTTTTTCTAGTTATCATAATGTTGAGACATGGAGTCCTTGGAAAATCTGGTGACATCTGGGGACACTGGACCTGCCCTCCTGCACACATGCCTCTGTTACTGTGGTTAGTGGTGGAGTATGCAGACTGTTTGGGCCCTGTCTCCAGTTTGAAAGGCTGAGCTCAAATTTTCTGTGTGCTTTGGCCCCCAGCCCCCAGAAGCAAGGGTCACAGAGGGATCATATTCACAGACACCACCTCCTGATGGTTCATGGCCAGTGTGTGCACCATGGGTGGTAACTGCCTCTCGCCAAGTCCACCTGCTGGCACAGCTGCAATAACGGGTCCCTGGCTTCTGTCACTTTTGCAGGAGCATAAGAACTGTGGAGAGATGAGTGAAATAGAAGCCAAGGTCAAGTACGTCAAACTCGCCCGGTCCCTCCGGACGTACGGCGTATCTTTCTTCCTGGTGAAGGTGAGTGTAGGGGGGGAGGGGGCGGAGTTTACCTTGCCACTTCTTTTTGCTTCATGACAGTGTTTGTGTTAAGCATGGTTTGCCGTCTAGACCCCTGGCCTTGGCACATGTGGCCTTGAGCCTGCACAGTGACCTGAGTTTAGCTGCAGCACATACATGAAGGGCATGAGCTACCAGGCTGACAGGTGAGTCCAACTGCCCACAGGCCTCCAGGCAGCTGTGCCTTGGCTTAGGTCACTGTCAGTGCTCTGTAGTCACTTGACCTGAATTCACTTACCCTGAGAATGCTTCACAATGACTGTCAAGATCCCTGTGGACAGAGGTAGGTGTTGTGGTACCACAGGTTAAGCCACCACTTAGGATGCCTGCATCCCATAATCAGATAGCCTGGGATCAAGTCCTGCCTCTGCTTCCAATCCAGCTTCCTGCTGATGCACACCCTGGGAAGCAGCAGGTGAATTCAAGCACTTGTGTTTCTGTACTCATGCAGAAGACCTTGATGGAGTTCCTGCAGCCCTTCTTCAGCCTGGTATAGACCCAGTTGTACCAGCAGATGGAAGTGTTCTTTCTCCCTCCCTCTCTCTGCTTTCTCTCTCTCCTTCCTCTCCCCTATCTCCTCGCTCTCTGCCTCACTCTGTTCCTCTCATCTCTCTCCTCTATCTTCCTCCCTCTCCCTCTCCCTGTAGCTTTGTCTTTTAAATAAACAAACTTTGAAAAAAAAAAAAAAAGAGTCCCCTGGACTAAGTGAAGATTGTTGACCACTGCAGGCGAATCCCATGTAGTACACACAGAACTGTAACTTGGGTGCTTCAGTACAGGTCATGGGACTGTCTGTGGCCTTCAGCTCTGTTCCATGGGAATTGTTTCTCTTCCTACTGGGAGAAAAGAAGTGTATCTTGGAAATTCAACCTCTGAGCAAGCCGAGATGGGCCCTCCCTGGGTGTCATCTTCAGTTGATTTGTAAATCCCGCCCTCAGCTTCCTCCCGCCTTTGCTCTTCCCGACCTCAGGTTCTCTGTTGAGTCATCCATCTAGTGGGTTTCACTGATTTCTACATATTTTGCTGTGAATCCAGGCCCTGGAGGAAGCCCTGCTACGCTGTGATGTTTGTTGTATTGCTCTCGGCAAGTGGGAGGGGCACCAGCTGTGTTATAGCTGCTCCTGGGGACTGAAGTTGGAGGGCCCAAGACAGGGAGGGTGGAGGCGGTTTCTTTGGCCACAGCTAAGAAAACTACAAAAAAGAGGAAGTGTGGTTGTCCCCTGGGATGGCATTCTTGGCCTGCTCTCAAACTGGAGCAAGCTATTGCATTGAGAGACAGAAAGAATCACAATGTTAGGCCTCAGAGAGACCTCTGATTCATGCTAATTAGTTCTGTCATACAAAGAGTTCGGTTTTACACCAGTGAATGCTGGGCCCCCAGTGAAGAAAGCATGTGCCACTCACTTTGTTTTTAGGAAAAAGAATTAGGAGATGCATGTTTCATGGTGAGTAGGAGTGTGGCACGATAAATAAATCACTGAATGGCACTGGTACTATCTAAGTAGTAATGGCTCCACTCCCCCGTATTAATAGTAATGATCAGGCCGGTGCCGCGGCTCACTAGGCTAATCCTCCGCCTTGCGGCACCGGCACACCAGGTTCTAGTCCCAGTCGGGGCGCCGGATTCTGTCCCGGTTGCCCCTCTTCCGGGGCAGCTCTCTGCTGTGGCCAGGGAGTGCAGTAGAGGATGGCCCAAGTCCTTGGGCCCTGCACCCCATGGGAGACCAGGAGAAGCACCTGGCTCCTGCCATCGGATCAGCGCAGTGCACCGGCCGCAATACGCCGGCCGCGGCGGCCATTGGAGGGTGAACCAACGGTAAAGGAAGACCTTTATCTCTGTCTCTCTCTCTCTCTCTCACTGTCCACTCTGCCTGTCAAAAAAAAAAAAAAAGTAATGATCATATTTAGTCAGCTGTCATATGACAGGCATATCTCACTCAAATCTATCAACAACCCAGTGGAAGAGATACTAATATCTTATTTGTATAAATGAGCAGAGACCAGAGAGATCCAGTGACTCAGCCATGGCTCTAGGCTGATAACTACAGGAGCAGGACTCAAGTTCAGGTCCCTCTGGTTCACAGGCCATCTTTGTGGCCACTGAGGATGGGGTGGCCTTACTAAAGAGGTGGTCGCCAGGCTCCGTGATCCTGCCTGCCTGCTGGCACTGTGGACACAGGGGTAGAACTGTTCATGCTAGAAGGATCACTTTTCATTTCCTACTGAGAAGGGCTGCCAGTAGCAGATGAGTCGAACCTCTCAGAGAAACAGGTGAGACAGATTTTCAGTGTCCCCTGATCGTGGCATCAGTTGTCTTCTGCTTTTTTGATTTTCTGTAATCCTTAAAGTATGCAACTCATCTTTTGAAGTCACTTCATCTTCTCTTAATGGCATCAGCTTTTATACAAAGTTCATTTTAGCGATATGCTAGAAAAAATGGTGTGAGTCTTGGATATAGGATAGTGAATTTAGAGTAATAACAGAAAACCTTGTGATTACAAAAAAAAAACATAATAAATTTGTTCTCCATAGACATTTTAGGGCTTAAGCAAGGTAAGTCTGTGGTTGGTGTAGTGATTAGAGGTAGAGAATAGACCTGGTTGTAGCAAGGTGTGTGCCTCTCTGGGCTCGCTGTTGTGCTCCGCGATCTACTTGACTGCCCCTCTACTATAACATGCTGTCCTGATCACTTGAGCTAGCTAGTAAGCCTCTGGCAGAGTGATTGCTTCCACTTTTCATTTTCAAAATGGGTTTAGTTATTTTAAGGTTCTTTCCATATATAAGCTTTTCTATATAGAAGACCTGTTATGAGCATTGCATTAAACTTTTTATTTATTTATTTATTTATTTTTATTTTTTGACAGGCAGAGTGGACAGAGACATAAAGAAAGGTCTTCCTTTTGCCATTGGTTCACCCTCCAGTGGCCGCTGTGGCCGGTGCACCGCGCTGATCCAATGGCAGGAGCCAGGTGCTTCTCCTGGTCTCCCATGGGGTGCAGGGCCCAAGCACTTGGGCCATCCTCCACTGCACTCCCGGGCCATAGCAGAGGGCTGGCCTGGAAGAGGGGCAACCAGGACAGAATCCGGCACCCCGACCAGGGCTAGAACCCGGTGTGCTGGCGCCACAGGTAGAGGATTAGCCTAGTGAGCCGCGGCGCCGGCCTGCATTAAACTTACAGATCTGTTTGGGAAGAATTTTTATAGTGAGTCTTTGAATCCACGAACATGATATTGGATCTGTTTTGATTTCTTTCTTTGAGCACACAAATCCTATATGTATTATACCAATAAGCATAAAACTAATTATTAGATTTATTGTTAAATTCAGTAAATTGTCAAATTGAATCAATTATACATGTCACCCATGTGAATGAACCCTTTATGTGCATCTATATATAGAAGTCACTAAAACCATTTAGAATACATGATAAGAGCTCACATACAGAATATCATCACAAAACACAATGTGCTTGGGGCTGGCTCTGTGGCATAGTGGGCCGAGCCTCTGCATCCCATATGGGTGCCAGTTCATGGCTTAGATGCTTCTCTTCTGATCCAGCTCTCTGTTATGGCCTGGGAAAGCAGTGGAAAATGGCCCAAGTGCTTGGGTCCCTGTACCCAAGTGGGAGACCCGGAAGAAGCTCCTGGCTTCAGATTGGTCCAGCTCTGGCCATTGCAGCCATTTGGGGAGTGAACCAGCAGATGGAAGACCCTTCTCTCTGTGTTTCCCTCTCTATCTCTATAACTCTACCTCTGAAATAAATAAGTAAAATCTTTGGTAAAAAAAAAAAAAAAAAACCAACATGTCTTAGGGATAGAAGGGTTTTTAAAGCCATAAAAAATATCTCAGACTTTGAACTTCACTATAACCTTGAATTGTGAAGTAGGTCCGTTGGCATAACTTAGGAAATAAATTGAAAGTGAACGATTCCAGCTTCACATTCACTACTTTCATTGGGCTCTATCAGAAATTCTAAATATGTCAGTACAATCACAATTCACTAAGTATTTAACCATTGATATTGAATGCACTTAATTGTTGCCTGCAGTCATGAGAGTAATCATACATATTCTGGGAGGACTTAGTTCAACGTGTTCTTGGCTACCTTCATCATGTTTTCTTTTGCATCAGGACATTTTTTTGACCTCACATTCAGTGTGGTACTCTATGATATAAAGTACATGTTGGCACGTGGAGATTGGTCTGGAATCCCAGCTGAGGCCTGAGAAATAGCAGAGACTTCTGTGATGAGAAGAAATGTGGCTAGCCTCTCTAAATCTGAGTTTCTTCATATGAAAAATGATAATTCCTCGCTCAGCCCTCATGACTGTTAAGTGACAAGTGTGGTGCCTGGTTGTAAGGACATCTGATTTCAGTTTAGGTTATCCCAGGCACTTAGCCCTCCACACTCTTCTGCATCACTGGCTCTGAATCCTTCCACTTTCTTACTGGACTTTAGGCATCCAGGATGTGTAGGGCAGAGGTTGACAGACTGTCAAGGGCCGAAGACTAAACAGCTAAGGCTTTGCCAGCCGTGCTCCTCAGCTTTGTTGCCCTCATAGTGTGAACACATGTCCAGGCCATATGTGAAAGAATGGGCATGGTTATGTTCTTTTAAAAAAAAAAAAAAGATTTATTTTGTATCAAAGACAAAGTTAGTGGGTGGGCAGGCCGGGGGAGGGAGAGAAGGAGAAGGAGGGATGGAAGGAAGAAGAGAGGCCTTCCATCCACTGGTTCACTCCCCAAATGGCTGCAACAGCTGGAGCTGGGCCAGTCCAAAGCCAGGAACTTCTTGGTATTGCACACAAGCACTTGGGCCATTTTCCACTGCTTTCCCAGGCACATCAGCAGGGCATTGGATTGGAAGTGGAGTAGCTGGGACTTGAACCGGCACCCATATGGGATACCAGTGCTGCAGACAGCAGCTTAACCCACTACACCACAGCGTTGACCCCCATGG